ATCTGCGATCTCTGCTCCATCATCAGAGTCCTCTCGTACGTGTACGCGCTGATGTCACTGTCGTGCTGAAACACACACCACGACCTTTAACCTTCAGTGTTAATATAACTCACAATATCTCATCATAAGTCAGATTATAACATGCTGACATATTTAACTACAAAACATTTATTCAATATGTACATGTTTTGTTTTGAAATTGGATTATGTACTTATATATTAAAAAGGTGTAAATCCAGCGTTTAATGTTGTTTATGTGTGTATGTGGTGTTATTAATACGCTTTAACACAAACCATGTGTAAGTTCATAAGTCGACAGCATTGCTGAGTATTTTCTGCTTAAAACTGCAGTGAACCAAAGACAGTCTCAAAAACACGGTGTGAAATCGCTGGTGTTTCTGACGTCACAAACGACCTTGTAACCAATCAGATCAACGTGTGATCGTCAACCAGTGGATCTCTGAGCTGAGTGAGTGAGTGGAGGCGGGGCTCATCTGCATATTCATAGAACCGCGCATACTAAATGAGGCGAGGGTGTCGAGTTACATTCAAGATATTTTAAGGCATCTAGACATTTTTTAAGGGAAAAAACGCTTAAATATGTAATTTTGGTGATCAAAGATGAGTTTTAAGAGATATAATGATTGACTACAGGGGGACTTTAATACATACGAACTTGGATTTTATTGGTACGATAATAATGTGTATAAAGACACTTAGGGTTGGATTCCAATTCTGCAATCTGATTCTTGATATTAAATTTCAATTCCTCTTATCGATTCCTTTATGAGCATTTCAACTTTTGTAACTATATTTGTAATGTATAATTTATTTATAAAGTGTTATTCTACATTTGATTACAGTTTCTGAACCTGAAAATCTTAAAACACTGTTCATTTCAATCGTATCTTTGTTGAGTTGCGATTACTAATTTGTTCTCTTTTCATCGCTGAGTGTTTATTGTGTTTAATAACGCTTGATATTTACATTAGTCCGGCTAGTTGTTCTTCTATGGTGTGTTTAACGCTCAGGCAAACGCTCCTGTAAGTGTTCTTCAGCTGAGGATTTCTGCTCATGATATTCAGCTGCAGTTACAAGTTTAGCAATAAGACTAAATGTGAATGATATCTAAGTTTTTTTTTTTTTTACCTTATTGGAATCGAAATCGTAAATATTCAAACGATCCCCAGCCCTAAACAAGACACATTATTTACATCTACTAAACGTGTGTAAAGTCTTTCTTCCTGTGACGTCCAGCAAAGAGTTTATGTAATCAAAAAACACCAACATTATCCATTTAAAATATCGGTCACACTGTATTTTAAAGGTGTCCATGTTACAGTGCTGAGGGATAACTACATGTACTCACTACAGGGTGAGAGTTAGGATTGGGGTTTGCCTGAGGGTTAGTATGCGTGATTGACAGTGATTACTACAGTAATGGACCCAGTGTGTGCAGCAGGAGCGCCCACCATCTCGACGACCTCCACGTACGCGTCGATGCGCAGGTGGTACAGGAACGTGGCCAGGTCCTTCTTCATCTGGATGGAGTTGTCCTCCATCTGGGCCACGGTGAAGATGCGCATCGAGCATTTACGCCACACCTGAGACACACATGTGCAGTTACTCCACACACACAACTACTCGACTGTGCAGTTACTCCACACACACAATCACACAACCGTCCTGCTTTCTGTGAACATGACCAGAGTGAAGTGAGTTTATGATTAAACGGAAACAAATGTCTGCCTATGGACTCGACTTGATTCAAAGGGAAGTTTTCATAACTCACAGGCAAGATTTCATTCAATTTTTTAACTTTCAACACATTTGCATTTACTGGAGATACAAAAAACCTGAATATGAATATGTTTTTTCTGTGAAATTGATCGAAATGAGTTTATGATTAAACTGGAACAATCTGCCAATGCACTCAGAAGTTTTCATAACGCATTGGCTGTCAAGACCTTTGCATCTCAAGTTAATACATCTTGATAAAGTCAAGTCATCTTCATTTATACAGCGCTTTGAACCAGTGTTGTTTTTGGCAGCCCTTTTAGTTTTAGTCTTAGTCTTTTGGACGAAAATGCTTTTTAGTTTTAGTCACATTTTAGTCACTTATAAACGTAATAGTTTTAGTCAAGTTTTAGTCGACAAAAACAAAAAAAGGTTTTAGTCAAGTTTTGCATTCCACAATTTCTCAAAAGTCAAGCTCAATGTTCAGCTGAGATCTGTACTTTGTTTTCAGTGAAACTGAAACAGCTGAAAAGCCCATCTCACAGAGATATGATGTGGCAAAGGGAAGAAGAATGCACACAGCTCTCTGCCTTTAGCCTACTTAAAAACGTGATTTTTTTTTAAATAGATAAAATTGACATAACATACTGTGTTTGATATGGGATTAAAATGATGGGTAGTGTATGGGCAGTGTATAAGAAATAAACTAATGATTAATTATTGTAATATTCCTTTGTTCCGATCAGAGCATGTGAGCGAAGAGCGCATTTCTGAATATCAGCTCAGGGTCGCGCGCTCAACACAGAATGGCCTGCTGGTTCGAGAATATGTGGAATAAGAGCTGCCTCCGACTAAAGTTTTTATTCTAGTCGACTAGTAGTTGTTCATTTAAGCCATTAGTGGACAAACCATTAGGCTATACAGGATAATGAGCGTTATAGCCGCACTCGACCGCACGCATAAAGCTTGTCACAAAGAACCGGCAAAAGTACCGTATTTTCCGCACCGGATTATAAGGCGCACCTTCAATGAATGACCTATTTTAGAAAATTTTTCATATATAGGGCGCACCGGATTATAAGGCGCATAAGATACTGCAGTCAAACGTTTGACTGGGTTTGCGTTATGCATCCACTAGATGTCAACAAATGTCAACAAAACAGTCAGATAAAGTCAAACTTTATTAAGCGTTCTGACAACTCCGTTCACTCCCATGGTAACGTTGTTCAAACGTTAAAGGAAAACTCCGGTCAATTTTAACATTGAGCTCATTTTGTGTAAATTTGGAGTGCTGTCAGTACAGATAACAACAGCAAAAACTGGTGTTGCCTGCACCGTGTTATCCTCTTTTTAAAATGTGCACCCTGTTGACTTAAACTCATTACAAGTGCACAGCCATGTGAGTGAACACGGTGAATCTGACTCCAGTAAATGTGAAAGATATGAATAAAAATTATGTTTATTCAGCCAGCTCACATACCCGTATTTTCTTCCTGTTTTCGGTCGAAGTCCACAGTAGGCGATTGTCGAGTGCTCGCGAACTAGACAATCAACTACTGTGGACTTCGGCCGAAAACAGGAAGAAAATACGGTTATGTGAGCCGGCTGAATAAAGAGATTATTCCTGCCTTCGTGAAAGCTCGGATCACAGTTGAGACTGATATATCAGCCCAGGCATCCACGATCCATTGGCAGATAGTGGCGTAAGTCGCCCGGCGCTGTCTCCTTGTCTTGTCTCCCCGTCTCCGCATTATAAGGCGCACTGTCGTTTTTTGAGAAAATTAAAGGCTTTTAAGTGCGCCTTATAGTGCGGAAAATACGGTAATGATTATGAATGTGTAAAAAAAATAGCAAGGAGACATTTAATTGTTTATTAATAAACTGGTGTTTTCGGTGTCGCAGCAAAGTTGACGATGCGGACGCCATGAGCGAATAAAGATACAAAGGCATAAAACGGAAAATGTCCTCCCGTTTGGAGGAGACCTGTCACGCCCCACACTTTGAGAACCGCTGGATTATACTGAAACTGAAAGTATGTCCATAAATCATCTCGTCGTTTCCGACCACCATGCCCATCTATTGGCTTCGATCGCCGCCATGGTCCTTCGAAAGATGTGTGGCGAGTGACTAGCCGCAGCCGCTGTGTGTTGTTGTTGTGTGGAATCTGGTGCGCGCGCGGCATGGGTGGTGGGCGTACCCAAAACAAGGATAGGAAGCGGCAGCATTGCTGATACTGTTTTTTAGCTCAAAACAGACGCAAAATAGGCAGAAATGACATGCTTGTGATTGTGAACGTCAGACTTATAATCATTTTCGTTCCGTCTCGTCTTGTCAACGAAAACTCGAAAACGTCTCGTCATGTTTTAGTCACCTTAGAGCCATTTTTAGCTAGTCATCGTCGCGTTATCGTCATAAAAAAAAAGTGCGTCAACGAAATCATTTCGTTATCGTCATCACTGACGAAAACAACACTGCTTTGAACAAGTTAGTATAGAAGTTCTGCTTGTTAACAGCAGGTGTTCATCACTAATGTCAAGTCGCCTTCATTTATACAGCGCTTTAAACAAGTTAGTATAGAAGTTCTGCTTGTTAACAGCAGGTGTTCATCACTAATGTCAAGTCGCCTTCATTTATACAGCGCTTTAACTATATAGATGTTTCACAGCAGCTTTACAGTGATAATAGGAGATTACAGTAACAGAGATTGTTTGGCTTTACAGCAGCTCTAGAATAAAGTTATTGTCATTTATTCTCATATCATTAGTTATTAACTTAGGGGCCGCTAACACGACTTCAAAACTTCAATTATTGGACAACGTTTTATCTAGAGACTAGTTGACACTTCAGGACTAAAGATTATTAAAGAATACAGATGTTTAGGTATTTGTATGGTAAAACAGGATATATATAGAACCACAACACACACACACACACCTTGTGTTGTCTGAGCAGGAACGGCAGCAGCATCAGCATCCCCCCGTCGTGCACGATCCACCACACGTCGATGAAGCCCTCAGTGCACGGCTCGCTATTGCTCGGGAACAGAGAGATGTTCTTGGGCACCAGTAGAGCCAGATGAGCCGTCGTGGTGACGCGCACCGTGTCTGAACCAGGAGAGAGACGGGCGAGAGACTGAGAGAACTTCCTCAAAAACACACAGTGTCTGAAAAGCTTTGATAAAGATTCAGTCTCTCTTTAATCTACCTTATCGGTTATCCGCTTTCAAATATAAAGGATTATCAGTTATCGGTATCGGCCAAAACCAAACATCCTCTACAACACAAAATTTCTGCGAGGTCAAAAAACACTCATAATGTCCATCGCAGCATCAGTGTCTGAAACGCTTCGATATCTCAGCTCTTTTCTCTCAGTGTCTGAAACGCTTGGATAAAGATTCAGTCTCTCTAAGCCCCGCCTCTCTGAGAGCTGCTCTGCTCTGATTGGTCAGAAAGCAAACGCTCATTATCATATCTGAATCTCAGCTCTTTTCTCTCAGTGTCTGAAACGCTTGGATAAAGATTTAGTCTCTCTAAGCCCCGCCTCTCTGAGAGCTGCTCTGCTCTGATTGGTCAGAAAGCAAACGCTCATTATCATATCTGAATCTCAGCTCTTGATCACAGTGATACGAACAGTAACGATGGCGTGGGTTTCACCGTATCAATCTCAGAAAACAGCGTCTCCTCGACACGAACAACACGAGCCGAACTCTTCAAGTCTCAGATACACTACAGTGTTTGAGGGCGGAGCTAAGAGACGCTGCTCAGCCAATCAAGACCAGAGGCGGGCATTATGCTAATTAGTTACAAACCTACATAGGAAGTGAGACTGAATTACTGATGACTCATTTCAGTTCAGAATCACTTCTTTCTTTTAGGAGACAAAAACTCAATATATCTGCATCTTTGCAGAACTAGATTATATTATATTAATTAGATTCTATTATCATCATAATATCCGAAAAAGCATAAAAGGGGCTTTTTAAAACAACCGAATCACTCAGAACTGCTCTCAGTGATCAGTGTAAATTCCGTTAATTAAAATTAAAACCATTTAAAATATATTTTTGTTGGATAATTCTGGTTTTTAAAACGCATCTTCGGATCACAAATTAAGACATTTTTGATTAAATCTGAGAGCTGTCTCACTCCTCCATAGGCTGGCCGGCCCAGAAAGTTATTAAAGACATCGTTAAAATAGTCCGAGTGACTACAGTGGCTCAACCTTAAGTTTATCAAGTGACGAGAATACTTTTTGTGCGCAAAACAAACTAAATTAATGACTTTATTCAACTCTTCATGTTCTTCTGTGTGGGCCTCGAGTGAGTTCACAGCGCAGCGCTTCTGGGCTGTACGTCACACGCATCACACACACATGACCAGCGTCGGCCAATAGTGAGCCTGCGTGCGGACCCTGTGAGTCCCGTGGCGTGTGCAGGTGTGATGGGAAGGCACTCACTGATGAAGGTCTTCCAGCTCTGCGGGTCTTCGCTCTGCCTCCAGGCCAGTGGCCAGCCCATGACCACAGTGTTGTGCCTCATGCCACCCAGCCCGCTCGACTGGATCATGTGACTGATGCCCTCGCGGGGCTTCTGGGCCACGATGCAGTGGACGAAACCCTTGACGCGCTCCTTCTCCATCAGGTGCCTGAGAGTCTGGAGGGACAGAGACACATCAGGACGAGTGACTCAGCTTTACAGGAAGTGCACGAGTCCACATTACAGTATCAGAGGTACGTTATGCATTTCAGAAATGCACATAAATCACAGTGAGCTAAAAATGTATTCATTTAAACAATGTAGTAATTTAATGTCAATTAATTTGGGTCACACAACCCAAAAGATAAGATAACTCTACTCTTCTCTACTAGAAGCGGTTTTCCTGCTTGAATGTTGATTATTCTCCTCATATTCTCCATTGTTGCGGCTCCTCTCTTCCCAGTCTGTCAGTAACGCTCTGTTTACTTCCTGTCTCTACGAAGCCCCTCCTTCTGAACAGCACACTGTGCTCTGATTGGTCGGCTGGAGCGGTGTGTTGTGATTGGTCGAGCGCGACTCTCGTTCAGCTCACGGTTTATTCAGCAGACACCGTTCAGGTTACCAGTGTCTGCTCTCTAACTGAACTTTTGAACTAAACAATTTTGAGCGTCACGGCCAAGGTGAGAATACTTGCGTACGAGTGATTTTTTCGTTTTTTATTTGTATTAAATTTGCAAAGATTTCAAACAAACTTATGAACTTATTAATTTAACAGGGAAATGTGGGTAAAGTTAACACTGAATTGTTCCCGGAGGCAGTGTCGGCCATAGATATCCATAATAAAGGCTAGATGTCCCGTCCGCGCTGCTGGCCAATGGAGGTCGGCGTCCGCACTGGCGGCCATCTTGCCACAGGCAGCTCGCTCACTCGTAACATTGTGTTTTAATGGTGCATGTACTTTTTAAATAACCATAACTTGCTCAATTCTCTACCGATTTTCAAACGGTTTGGTTTGTTATAAACGTCAGAGATGTAGTTATGACACTGCATACTTATGAATAATAAGTGTATCAATAAATAATCATCCAGAATTATAGCCACGTTAATAACGTTTGTAAGAAACCAAACCGTTTGTAAATCCGTCAAGATTTCAGCGAGATAAGAGTATTTGTGTTGGTGCTGATCACTCATCTTACATCAGGCACCACAGAGGCCGCCAGAAAGCTTGCCTGTGACAAGATGGCCGCCGGTGATGACTATAGAGACTCCGCCGTAAGACATCTAGCCTTTATTATGGATATCTATAGTGTCGGCCCTCTGAGATTAGCGTGACACACCTGCTCCGCGGCCAGGGCCTCGCCGTAGGTCTGCAGGAAGTTGCCCGGGATGACGGTCCCCACGATGGTCAGGCCCTTCCCTGCCTTCAGCTGAGACGCAAACGTCAGCAGGCGCGGAGACTTCACGTGGGCGTCCTCGTCCAGCTTCAGCAGCACCAGCAGCTGCGGCCTGAGACACACACACACACACACATCAGGAGTGACAGTTCATTTCAGGACGTCTCATTCCACACCATTAAAAGCATGTCTATAATATATCACCCTCTACTGCACATTTCACCATTATCTCTATTATTGAGTCACTGAATCATTCTTTACACTGATCTGTTCAAAACACAGATTCATCAGTAATGAGGACCCGCTATCTGTTGCTCAACGGTCCTACTGTGGCTTTATTTGGAAATATTGGTTGAAATATCCAACAAAATGTATCATTAATGGTGTGTGTGTGTACCTCCAGTTCTTGGTGTGTGGTGGTCCTTCCTCCAGCCGGAGCAGAGCGAAGCGAGCCGCGCTGAGAGACAGACCTCTGATGCCGTCGCCCCACTCTTTCTCTGCCCTGAACACACACACACACACACACACACACACTGAGCATTAGTGCTGAACGATTCATCAAAATAAAATCTCGATGTGGTTGATATCGTTTTAGTGCGATTAACAAATAATTTCCCCAAACTTTATTAGTTCTTAATATAAACTGGCTGTTGTCAACTAAAGAGGAGATCTAAGGCTCCCTGCAGTTTCTCACACACACAAACACTCAAGCACACACACACACACACAGAATCACAAACACTCACACACACACAAACACACACACAAACACTCAAGCACAATCACACACTCACAGAATCACAAACACTCACACACACACAAACACACACACACACACACTCAAGCACAATCACACACTCACAGAATCACAAACACTCACTGTTACGTTCCACGTGTATTTGTGTGTGTGTGTTTCTGTTCTGTCTCCATTCATTACTTTCAGGTGGTGACCGAGCATTGGCTGTTTGCGGGCACGTGACGTCATTGTGGGGGCGTCATCATCTGTTCGACCAATCCATTGCTGTGCCATGAGTTTAAAAGGCCCATCCACAACTAGGAAGACAGATCCTCGCCAGATCTCACCCAACTTGCGTGTTCTGAGCACATTGTCGAAACCACTACCACGATTCACGCTTATTGTCTTTATTGTTGATTTGAGTAAATGCTTTTGCCTGACCTGAGTTTTAGTAAGACACTAAGAGATGCCTAGCCGATCCGCTTACATCTGGAGCATTGAGTTCTCTGTTGCGAAATCATGACGGGAGGTAGGAATCATTGTTGTGTTAGGTATGCGTGGAGTGTTCGCCATTCCTGTATTTCTGTTTTTATTTAGTGTAGTTTAATTAAGGCGGCGTATTCCGCTGAAGAACTCGGTTTTGTTTTTCTTTTTCTTTTGTGGCAGTTAGTTTAACGGGTACACTTAAAATTAGATATCAGTTATGTTTTGCTTATTTCGATAATTTGGCGACACTCTTGTCTGTCTTTGTTTTCTCGTGTGTTATTTTTCTTTCTGAACAATCTTGTTATTTAATTTAGGTGAACATGTTTAAAGCTTTTCCATTCAAAGAGAATAAACGTTTCCTCTTAACGTTTAATTGAAGTTTCTTGGTTGTTCTTCCTGCATCCACACAAAGCAACAGTGTCTCACATAAATGTTATGTAATCATCCCCTTATACATCTTTAAACGCGTAACATTTGGTGGTGGCAGCGGTGGGATATTCCTTTTAAAGGGATATCTTATTTTCTTGGGATGAGTTGGTGAGCGCTGTTGATTGTGTGTGGGTAGGAGCAGTAACCTTGAAGGAGGTATTGTCTGAATGAAAGATCTTAAGAGGCTGCTGTGGATTCTAGCGTTTGTGGTGGTAAGTTTAGTCAGAATGGCTGATTTTGATCTGGATGGTTTTGTGAGTGCACCAACGGTCGAACAATTGAGTACGTGTAGGAAAGATGATTTATTGAGAGTTGCCGAACATTACCAAATTAGAGTTTCTAGACAGCAGCTTAAGCGAGACATTAAAAATATGTTAGTGCAGCAGCTAAGGAAGTTGGAGGTGTTGAAACCGGTTGATAAATCTGAGGAGATTCTGAGCTCTGGAGCTGGTCCTTTAGGTGAGGAGGAAGCGAGTGGGACTGATGAGGCGGAGGGTTCCGAAGCCAAAGCAGTCTTGCCGCCCTTTGAACCTTCTTCTCCATCTGTTGCGGGAGATGAGTCGCGTCTCAAGGTACGTTTGGCGAAAGTCCAACGGGAAGAGCGCGAGAGGGCTGAGGACCGTAGAGCTCAGTTAGATTTGCAACTCCACATCCGTCGTCTGGAAATAGAGGCGGACACGCAAGTAAAGTTGCGTGAGTTGGACCTGAGAATAGCCAGAGAGACACCGGTTCCGCCCACACTTCCTGTATCAGCTGCTCAACCTGCGCAGCCGGTTGCTGTCGCGGCGGGTGCGAGTTCGACGTTTGATGTGAGTAAACACATTTCTCTTGTTCCACAGTTCAGAGAGGCTGAGGTTGACTCATATTTTAATGTATTCGAACAAGTTGCTTCTATGCTTAACTGGTCTAGAGATGTGTGGCCGTTACTGCTTCAATGTAAGTTGACGGGAAAAGCTCAGGAAGTATGTGCTGCGCTGTCTTTGCAGGATAGCTTAGATTATGACATTATTAAAACGGCAATTTTGAGGGCTTATGAGCTCGTACCGGAGGCGTACAGACAGCGATTTAGGAATCACAAAAAAGTTTCAAATCAGACGTTCGTTGAGTTTGCTAGGGAGAAGAGTTTGTTGTTTGACCGGTGGTGCACATCAAATAAAGTAGCAGATTTTAATGCTCTCCGTGAGTTGGTTTTGTTAGAGGAGTTCAAAAATTGTATTCCTGATCGTATTGTTGTCTATCTAAACGAGCAGAAGGTGACGTCAGTGTCACAGGCGTCTGTTTGTGCGGATGAGTTCGCGCTTACGCACAAGAATGTTTTTACTCTTGCTCGGACTGAAAACGTTTCGCATGTTCCTGCTGTCTTGAGAGATCAGTGGCGTTCGAAAAATGTTCCAAAAGCTAAAGAAGGCAGAGAATGTTTTTACTGTCGCAAACCGGGACACCTGATTGCTGATTGTCTGGCTTTAAAGCGCAAAGAGCAAGGTGTCAGTACTAAAAGTGTCGCGTTTGTGAAGACTGTTGATCGCACAGATTATGAGAATTGTGATGTCTTAGATGTTAGTTATCAACCTTTCCTGATGGAAGGATTTGTGTCTGTTAGTGAACATTCTCCTGATCCAGTCAGAGTTACTATGTTGCGTGATACCGGAGCGATGCAATCGTTTATAGTAGCTGACGCGTTGCCATTTTCTGAATGTACTTTTTGTGGAAGTCATGTGTTAGTACGTGGTCTTGAGATGAGCACTATGAAAGTTCCTTTGCATCAGATTCACCTGAAGTCAGATTTGTTTTCAAGATTTGTGAAAGTTGGAGTTCGTGATCGCTTACCAGTGCATGGAGTGAACTTCATTCTCGGTAATGATATTGCAGGTGGTAAAATTGTGCCGCTATTAGAGGTTTGTGATAAACCTATTTTGCCCGATGGCACTGATGAAATGTCAGAGAAATTCCCTGAGGTTTTTCCTGCTTGTGCTGTGACGCGAGCGCAGGCTCGTAAGTTTGCTGATGCTGATGATTTATCCTCCACTTTCATAGCACCTATGTTTGTAAACGATGCACTGATGCCTGATGCAGGTAAGCCAGATGGCGCAGTCATTTATTTGAAATCAGATGATTTGAAATTAGAAGTCACTAGTGAGAAAATTATTGCAGCCCAAAAAGAGGACTTTTCCCTGCGTAAATGTTTTTCTTCTGTCATTTCCGTGGAAGAGGCGCAAAAGAAGAGAAACGCTTATTATGTGCAGAATGGGTTACTGATGCGTTGGTGGTGTGCTGATATTGCGAGTGGTTCCGAATGGTCTTCTGTGACCCAAATTGTCATTCCGACGTGTTATAGACACTTAGTACTTTCACTCGCTCATGATCATGATTTGTCTGGTCACTTAGGCATTAAGAAGACATACCATCGAATATTGAGACATTTCTTTTGGCCCAGAATGAAGGCTGATGTAGCCAAATTTTGTAGAACCTGTACGACTTGTCAATTCTCGGGTAAGCCGAACCAGGTGATTCCGCGCGCGCCGCTGGTTCCTATACCAGTGATGGGAGAGCCTTTTGAGCACGTTATTGTAGACTGTGTTGGACCACTACCTAAGTCAAAATCTGGTAATCAATACTTGCTTACAATAATGTGTACAGCGACGCGTTTTCCGGAGGCGATTCCACTGAGAAAGATTACGGCACCGGTGATCAGCAGCGCGCTCATAAAATTCTTTTCAATGTTTGGTCTACCGAGGATTGTGCAGTCTGATCAAGGTACAAACTTTTTGTCAAAGATTTTTACACAAGTGTTAAAGACTTTGAATATTTCTCACAGAATTTCAAGTGCCTATCATCCTGAGTCTCAAGGTTCTTTGGAACGGTTCCATCAGACCATGAAAGCGATGTTGCGTCGATACTGTATGGACACAGGTAAAGACTGGGACGAGGGCATCCCGTTAGTTTTGTTTGCTGCTAGAGAAGCGGTACAAGACAGTCTAGGATTTAGTCCTGCCGATCTTGTTTTCGGGCATACTGTCAGGGGTCCGTTAAAGATGCTTAAAGAGAATATTTTAGATCACAAATCGAGTGTTCAAACCACATTGGACTATGTGAGCAAATTTCGTGAGCGATTGCACAAAGCTTGTACTATGGCACGAGATTCATTACTGCACGCTCAAATGACGATGAAGAGTAAATACGATCGTAAAACTGTTCAACGTCATTTTAAGGAAGGAGATCAGGTGCTCGTTTTATTGCCTGTCCTTGGTTCTGCTTTGTCTGCACGCTTTTCAGGTCCATATGAAGTGCTTAGGAAAATGAGTGACACTGATTATGTGATTCGTACTCCAGATCGCCGGAAGAAATCTCGCGTATGTCATGTAAATATGCTGAAGGCGTATCTTGTTCGAGAGTCAGTGCAGGATGTCCTGAAAGAAAATGAGTCGAATATATCTTGTGCTGCTGCGCTTACGTGCGAGTCGTTTGATTTTAATTCTACACCTGACAAGGAAGATGACGGAGTTTTGATACGACACACATATCAGCAGTGTGCCAGGTTGAAGAATTCTGAAGTACTGGCTGATTTAAATTCTCACCTGTCCCATCTATCCGAGTCTCAGAGTAATGATGTGGAAGAAATCATTTCTGACTTTCCTTCGTTATTTAATGACGTTCCCTCTCGCACTACGATTTTAGAACATGACATTGACGTGAGTAATGCTGTTCCTATTAAGCAACATGCTTATCGAACGAATGTTTTTAAACGTTCTGTGATCAAGACTGAAGTTGACTACTTGTGTGAGCATGGTTTAGCGAAACAGAGTTTTAGTCCCTGGAGCTCACCTTGTCTACTCGTGTCTAAGAGTGATGGTTCTGCTAGATTCTGCACAGATTACCGAAAGGTAAATTCTGTAACTGTTCCTGACTGTTTTCCATTACCTCGTATGGAGGACTGTGTGGACAACCTGGGGTCCGCTAAATTTGTCAGTAAATTAGATTTACTGAAGGGTTACTGGCAGGTGCCGCTAACATTGCGCGCCTCCGATATTTCTGCTTTTGTGACCCAAGATGATTTTCTGCAATATTGCGTAATGGCTTTCGGGATGCGCAACGCACCAGCCACATTCCAGCGGCTTATTAACATCGTGCTTGCAGGTGTCCGTAACTGTAACGCATATTTAGATGACCTCGTGATTTACTCGCCTACTTGGTCTGCACATGTGTTAACGATAAGAGAGGTGTTTGAGCGCCTAGAGAAAGCTTCACTGACGTTAAACTTAGCGAAGTGTGAGTTTGGTCAAGCTACGGTTACGTACTTGGGCAAAGAAGTGGGTCAAGGTCAAGTTCGACCCGTGGAGGCAAAAGTAACTGCAATTGCTGATTTTCCTGTTCCTGCTACGCGCAAAGAACTTCGTAGATTCTTAGGAATGGCCGGTTATTATCGGGGTTTCTGCAAGAATTTTTCAACTGTGGCCAATCCTTTAACGTCACTCCTTAGTCCATCATGCACTTTTCTCTGGAATGATGAATGTCAGAATGCTTTTGATAACATCAAGACTTTGTTGTGCGGTACGCCTGTTTTATCAGCTCCTGATTTTGAACGAACTTTCAAGCTCGAGATTGACGCAAGCTCTGTTGGTGCGGGGGCAGTGCTGGTGCAAGAAGACGTTTCTGGTATCGACCATCCAGTATGTTATTTTTCACGTAAGTTCAATAAACACCAATTGAACTACTCTACAATCGAGAAAGAAACGTTGGCCTTATTACTGGCTCTACAGTATTTTGATGTTTATGTGAGCTCAACTAATCTGCCTGTGATTGTGTTCACGGATCACAATCCTTTAGTGTTTTTAGGTCGCATGTACAATCATAATCAGAGGCTGATGCGTTGGTCTTTGATGGTACAAGGCTACAATTTAGAGATCAAACACAAGAAAGGTGCGGAGAATATAATTGCGGACGCTTTGTCCAGAGTTTAAGCTGGTGTGCTCTGAGAATTAGAATGAAAGAAGAAAAAAAAAAAAAACATGTTCTTTTGTTCATGTTTTGATGTTTTTTTCTTTTTTTTAGGGGGGAAGTGTTACGTTCCACGTGTATTTGTGTGTGTGTGTTTCTGTTCTGTCTCCATTCATTACTTTCAGGTGGTGACCGAGCATTGGCTGTTTGCGGGCACGTGACGTCATTGTGGGGGCGTCATCATCTGTTCGACCAATCCATTGCTGTGCCATGAGTTTAAAAGGCCCATCCACAACTAGGAAGACAGATCCTCGCCAGATCTCACCCAACTTGCGTGTTCTGAGCACATTGTCGAAACCACTACCACGATTCACGCTTATTGTCTTTATTGTTGATTTGAGTAAATGCTTTTGCCTGACCTGAGTTTTAGTAAGACACTAAGAGATGCCTAGCCGATCCGCTTACATCTGGAGCATTGAGTTCTCTGTTGCGAAATCATGACGGGAGGTAGGAATCATTGTTGTGTTAGGTATGCGTGGAGTGTTCGCCATTCCTGTATTTCTGTTTTTATTTAGTGTAGTTTAATTAAGGCGGCGTATTCCGCTGAAGAACTCGGTTTTGTTTTTCTTTTTCTTTTGTGGCAGTTAGTTTAACGGGTACACTTAAAATTAGATATCAGTTATGTTTTGCTTATTTCGATAATTTGGCGACACTCTTGTCTGTCTTTGTTTTCTCGTGTGTTATTTTTCTTTCTGAACAATCTTGTTATTTAATTTAGGTGAACATGTTTAAAGCTTTTCCATTCAAAGAGAATAAACGTTTCCTCTTAACGTTTAATTGAAGTTTCTTGGTTGTTCTTCCTGCATCCACACAAAGCAACAGTGTCTCACATAAATGTTATGTAATCATCCCCTTATACATCTTTAAACGCGTAACACTCACACACACACACACACACACACTCAAGCACAATCACACACTCACAGAATCACAAACACTCACACACACACAAACACACACACACACACTCAAGCACAATCACACACTCACAGAATCACAAACACTCACACACACACACACACACAAGCACAATCACACACTCACAGAATCACAAACACTCACACACACACACACAAACACACACACACACACACACACACACACACTCAAGCACAATCACAAAGTCACAGAATCACAAACACTCACACACACACACACACACACACACACTCAAGCACAATCACACACTCACAGAATCACAAACACTCACACGTGCACACACACACTCATGCACACACACAAACACGCACTCAAGCACAATCACACACTCACACTCAGACGCACTCACACACTCACAGAATCACAAACACTCACACACACACACACACAGAATCACAAACACTCACACACACACACACACTCACAGAATCACACCCACACACACACACACACACTCACAGAATCACACCCACTCACACACACACACACACACACACACACTCACAGAATCACACCCACACACACACACACACTCACAGAATCACACACACTCACACACACACACACACTCACAGAATCACACCCACACACACACACACACTCACAGAATCACACCCACTCACACACACACTCACACACACACTCACAGAATCACACCCACTCACACTCACAGAATCACACCCACACTCACAAAATCACACCTACTCTCACACACACACTCACAGAATCACACCCACTCACACACACACACACACACACACACTCACAGAATCACACCCACACTCACAGAATCACACCTACTCTCACACACACTCAAAGAATCACACCCACTCACACACACACTCGCAAACACACACTCACAGAATCACACCCACTCACACACAAACACTCACTCACACTCATGTACACTCGCAAACACCCACTCACACACACACACTCACACACATTCACACACACTCACAGAATCACACCCACTCACACACACACTCGCAAACACCCACTCACACACAAACACACACACTCACAGAATCACCCACTCTCACACACACACACTCACGCACACTCGCAAACACCCACTCACACACACTCTCAAGCACAATTACACACACACACACACTCACAACGTACCCGTGGTACTCGATGTATTTGTAGATCATTCCGGCTATCACCATGGCGACGATAGCGTAGTACCATGACGATATGAACATGAGAGCCAGACAGATCATCATGCCTAGAAACGACAACGTCCTGAGGGCGACAGGAAATGACATCAACAGATGCCTGTGGAGTGTGTGTGTGATGGCATGAATGTGTGTGTGTGTGGTTGTGTGTCGCACCAGTGGTAGTATGAGAACCGCGGCCTCCAGTTGGGCGTTCTGAGCAGCGTCTGCAGAGCGCAGGCTAGGTTCACGAACAGGTAACACATCAGGAAAAACCTGCACACACACACACACACATCAACGAAAAATTATTACAGTTAAATATATAGAAGTCATGATAACTCACGGCATCATGGCTGTGAGATTCAGACCGACTGCAACAATCAGCAATTAAACACACATTCATTCTTTCACTTCTGTTGACCACAAGGTACTTTTGGAGTCCATTCAGGGCATTGTGTTGAAGACACACACCACGTTTCGTAACGATACACAAAATCAAAAATGGCCGATATCCAAAATGGTCGACATGGGGAAATTGGGTATCGCTCAACTCGGCATGTCTAAAGAGACCCGTTTTGTGATTTATGGCCAAACCGTTCAGCCGTTATGAGCAAAAAGAGCCATTTTCCGTATCTCCTGACCACTAGGTGGCGCTGTGCCGAAACTGTGCAGGTAGCCTCAGGTCATGGGTGTCATAACACACACCAAGTTTGGTCAGAATACGCTAAAGTGTTGTAGAGATGTCGCCTCAAGTTCTTTTTGGCGCGCTCTTCATCGAATTCGTTCGTACGTTATTTGAGAACAGTTCGGCGAACCACAACTTCCAGAACTTTCTGTCTGAAGATGATCTGGTTCAGTTTTCATGAATAATAATAGGGTGCAATCGAATTGTCTGGAGCCAAATCAGAGGAAAAAAGTTTGTTTCTAGCCCTTAAGAATGATTAGCATAGCCGCGAGTGCAGCGCTGCACAGTAGGGGGCGCTAGAGGATCGGGACTCCAGACTCGCTGTGGCTCATGATCACACGGTCCTCGATCAGTGCGCCAAATCTCCCACAAGCGGTTCTGTGGGCTGCCATACACCCATAGAGCGAATAATAATACGAACGCCAACAATTACAATAGGATCATACGCAGCTTCTGTAATAATAAAGGATCATACAGTAATAATAGTGTGTGAATGACTTACATGGACAGTATTGGAGCGACGAGGTCCAGCGACGCGATCAGGATCCCCAGCTCAGCCAGAACCGCAGTCAGGAGGAGAGCCCATGTGGGTTCTCCATTAGCCTTCCCGTGCCCGAACACCTGCACACACACACAACACACTAAACACCTGCACACACACACAACACACACACTAAACACCTGCACACACACACAACACACACACTAAACACCTGCACACACACACAACACACACACTAAACACCTGCACACACACACAACACACACACTAAACACCTGCACACACACACACTAAACACCTGCACACACACACAACACACACACACACACACACACACACTAAACACCTGCACACACACACTGAACACCTGCACACACACACTGAACACACACACTGAACATCTAAGGTGCAGGTGCAAAAATCGGAAAAACTTAAAAGAATTTTTTTTTACATTTATCGTGATAAATATCGATATCGACTGATATAAAAAAAATTATCGTGATCATTTTTTTGGCCATATCGCCCAGCCCTAATGTGTAGTCTCAGGTGTGTGGAGCGTCTCAGGTGTGTGTGTGTGTGTAGTCTCAGGTGTGTGTGTGTGTAGTCTCAGGTGTGTGTGTGTGTGTGTGTGTAGTCTCAGGTGTGTGTAGCGTCTCTGGTGTGTGTGTGTGTGTGTGTAGCCTCACCCTCAGGAAGGGAATGATGTTGTCTTTAGCGATGGCCTGCAGGAGTCGAGGAGCGCCGGTCAGGGATTGGAGGCCAGCGCCACACGTGGAGAAGAACGAGCCAATCACAATCACCCACGGCGAGGGCCAGGAGAGCGTGCCGACCACCAGATTCCCTTTCACCGAGTCTCCAAACCTGCACACGGCCAGAGGATGACAGCTTTACACACACTCTCTCACACACACACACACACACACACACAAACACACAGCTTTACACACACTCACTCACTCACACACACACACACACACACACAAACACACACACACACTCTCACATACACACAAACAAACTCACACACACACACACACACAAACACACACTCATCGGTCAGAGGACGACAGCTCTATATCTCTAATGCACACAATGAATAAACAGGATTTTGATGCGAGATGTAAACTGTAAATATGACGAGTCAGAACAGCCGAGATCAAACACGATCCGGTTACTGTATGATTATGATCAAACACGATCCGGTTACTGTATGATTATGATGAAACACATGAAATCTCCCAGCATCAGCTGTAACACGCGAGCCTGTGAACCGTGCAGGAAAACTAATACTGGCTTTCGGGAATCGAAAAAAATAGATTTGTGGCTTTTGAGAATAACTGTGGCGTGCAACTGTGCTGTGTAACTGTGCTGCTGTATAACTGTGCTGCTGTATAACTGTGCCGTATAACTGTGCTGCTGTATAACTGTGCCGTATAACTGTGCTGCTGTATAACTGTGCTGCTGTATAACTGTGCTGCTGTATAACTGTGCTGCTGTATAACTGTGCCGTATAACTGTGCCGTATAACTGTGCTGCTGTATAACTGTGCTGCTGTATAACTGTGCCGTATAACTGTGCCGTATAACTGTGCTGCTGTATAACTGTGCCGTGTAACTGTGCCGTGTAACTGTGCTGTATAACTGTGCCGTATAACTGTGCCGTATAACTGTGCCGTATAACTGTGCTGCTGTATAACTGTGCCGTATAACTGTGCTGCTGTATAACTGTGCCGTGTAACTGTGCCGTGTAACTGTGCTGTATAACTGTGCCGTATAACTGTGCCGTATAACTGTGCTGCTGTATAACTGTGCTGTATAACTGTGCCGTATAACTGTGCTGCTGTATAACTGTGCTGTATAACTGTGCCGTATAACTGTGCCGTATAACTGTGCCATAACTGTGCCGTATAACTGTGCCGTATAACTGTGCCGTGTAACTGTGCCGTATAACTGTGCCGTGTAACTGTGCCGTATAGCTGTGCCGTATAACTGTGCCGTATAACTGTGCTGCTGTATAACTGTGCCGTGTAACTGTGCCGTATAACTGTGCCGTATAACTGTGCCGTATAACTGTGCTGCTGTATAACTGTGCCGTATAACTGTGCTGCTGTATAACTGTGCCGTATAACTGTGCCGTATAACTGTGCTGCTGTATAACTGTGCCGTGTAACTGTGCCGTATAACTGTGCCGTATAACTGTGCCGTATAACTGTGCTGCTGTATAACTGTGCTGTATAACTGTGCCGTATAACTGTGCCGTATAACTGTGCCGTATAACTGTGCTGATGTATAACTGTGCTGTATAACTGTGCCGTATAACTGTGCTGCTGTATAACTGTGCTGTATAACTGTGCCGTGTAACCGTGCCGTATAACTGTGCCGTGTAAGTGTGCCGTATAACTGTGCCGTGTAACCGTGCCGTATAACTGTGCCGTGTAACTGTGCCGTATAGCTGTGCTGTATAACTGTGCTGGTAACTGTGCCGTATAACTGTGCCGTATAGCTGTGCTGTATAACTGTGCCGTATAACTGTGCCGTGTAACCGTGCCGTATAACTGTGCCGTGTAACTGTGCCGTATAGCTGTGCTGTATAACTGTGCTGGTAACTGTGCTGTATAACTGTGCCGTGTAACTGTGCCGTCTAACTGTGCCGTGTAGCTGTGCCATGTAACTGTGCCGTGTAACTGTGCCATATAACTGTGCCGTATAGCTGTGCCGAATAACTGTGCCGTATAACTGTGCCGTATGTGCCGTATAACTGTGCCGTATAACTGTGCTGGTATAACTGTGCTGTATAACTGTGCTGTATAACTGTGCCGTATAACTGTGCCGTATAACTGTGCTGGTATAACTGTGCTGGTATAACTGTGCTGTATAACTGTGCTGTATAACTGTGCCGTATAACTGTGCCGTAAAACTGTGCTGTATAACTGTGCTGTATAACTGTGCCGTGTAACTGTGCCGTAAAACTGTGCTGGTATAACTGTGCCGTGTAACTGTGCCGTATGTGCCGTATAACTGTGCCGTATAACTGTGCTGGTATAACTGTGCTGGTATAACTGTGCTGGTAACTGTGCCGTATAACTGTGCCGGATAACTGTGCCGTATATGCCGTATAACTGTGCCGTATAACTGTGCTGGTATAACTGTGCCGTGTAACTGTGCCGTATAACTGTGCCGTATAACTGTGCCGTATAACTGTGCCGTGTAACTGTGCCGTATAACTGTGCCGTATAACTGTGCCGTATAACTGCCGTATAACTGTGCCGTATAACTGTGCCGTATAACTGCCGTATAACTGTGCCGTATAACTGTGCTGGTAACTGTGCCGTATAACTGTGCCGGATAACTGTGCCGGATAACTGTGCCGTATATGCCGTATAACTGTGCCGTATAACTGTGCTGGTATAACTGTGCCGTGTAACTGTGCCGTATAACTGTGCCGTATAACTGTGCCGTATAACTGCCGTATAACTGTGCTGTATAACTGTGCCGTATAACTGTGCTGCTGTATAACTGTGCTGTATAACTGTGCCGTATAACTGTGCCGTATAACTGTGCCGTATAACTGTGCCGTGTAACTGTGCCGTATAACTGTGCCGTGTAACTGTGCCGTATAGCTGTGCCGTATAACTGTGCCGTATAACTGTGCTGCTGTATAACTGTGCCGTGTAACTGTGCCGTATAACTGTGCCGTATAACTGTGCCGTATAACTGTGCCGTATAACTGTGCCGTATAACTGTGCTGCTGTATAACTGTGCCGTGTAACTGTGCCGTATAACTGTGCCGTATAACTGTGCCGTATAACTGTGCTGCTGTATAACTGTGCCGTATAACTGTGCCGTATAACTGTGCCGTATAACTGTGCTGATGTATAACTGTGCTGTATAACTGTGCCGTATAACTGTGCTGCTGTATAACTGTGCTGTATAACTGTGCCGTGTAACCGTGCCGTATAACTGTGCCGTGTAAGTGTGCCGTGTAACTGTGCCGTGTAACCGTGCCGTATAACTGTGCCGTGTAACTGTGCCGTATAGCTGTGCTGTATAACTGTGCTGGTAACTGTGCCGTATAACTGTGCCGTATAGCTGTGCTGTATAACTGTGCCGTATAACTGTGCCGTGTAACCGTGCCGTATAACTGTGCCGTGTAACTGTGCCGTATAGCTGTGCTGTATAACTGTGCTGGTAACTGTGCTGTATAACTGTGCCGTGTAACTGTGCCGTCTAACTGTGCCGTGTAGCTGTGCCATGTAACTGTGCCGTGTAACTGTGCCATATAACTGTGCCGTATAGCTGTGCCGAATAACTGTGCCGTATAACTGTGCCGTATGTGCCGTATAACTGTGCCGTATAACTGTGCTGGTATAACTGTGCTGTATAACTGTGCTGTATAACTGTGCCGTATAACTGTGCCGTATAACTGTGCTGGTATAACTGTGCTGGTATAACTGTGCTGTATAACTGTGCTGTATAACTGTGCCGTATAACTGTGCCGTAAAACTGTGCTGTATAACTGTGCTGTATAACTGTGCCGTGTAACTGTGCCGTAAAACTGTGCTGGTATAACTGTGCCGTGTAACTGTGCCGTATGTGCCGTATAACTGTGCCGTATAACTGTGCTGGTATAACTGTGCTGGTAACTGTGCCGTATAACTGTGCCGGATAACTGTGCCGTATATGCCGTATAACTGTGCCGTATAACTGTGCTGGTATAACTGTGCCGTGTAACTGTGCCGTATAACTGTGCCGTATAACTGTGCCGTATAACTGTGCCGTGTAACTGTGCCGTATAACTGTGCCGTATAACTGTGCCGTATAACTGTGCCGTATAACTGTGCCGGATAACTGTGCCGTATATGCCGTATAACTGTGCCGTATAACTGTGCTGGTATAACTGTGCCGTGTAACTGTGCCGTATAACTGTGCCGTATAACTGTGCCGTATAACTGCCGTATAACTGTGCCGTATAACTGTGCCGTATAACTGCCGTATAACTGTGCCGTATAACTGTGCTGGTAACTTAGCCGTATAGCTGTGCCGTATAACTGTGCCGTATAACTGTGCCGTGTAACTGTGCCGTATAGCTGTGCCGTATAACTGTGCCGTATAACTGTGCTGCTGTATAACTGTGCTGTATAACTGTGCCGTATAACTGTGCTGCTGTATAACTGTGCTGTATAACTGTGCCGTGTAACCGTGCCGTATAACATTGCCGTGTAAGTGTGCCGTATAACTGTGCCGTGTAACCGTGCCGTATAACTGTGCCGTGTAACTGTGCCGTATAGCTGTGCTGTATAACTGTGCCGTATAACTGTGCCGTATAACTGTGCCGTGTAACTGTGCTGTATAACTGTGCCGTGTAACTGTGCCGTGTAACTGTGCCGTCTAACTGTGCCGTGTAGCTGTGCCATGTAACTGTGCCGTGTAACTGTGCCATATAACTGTGCCGTATAGCTGTGCTGAATAACTGTGCCGTATAACTGTGCCGTATGTGCCGTATAACTGTGCCGTATAACTGTGCTGTATAACTGTGCCGTATAACTGTGCTGGTATAACTGTGCTGGTATAACTGTGCTGTATAACTGTGTCGTAAAACTGTGCTGTATAACTGTGCTGTATAACTGTGCCGTATAACTGTGCCGTGTAACTGTGCCGTAAAACTGTGCTGGTATAACTGTGCCGTGTAACTGTGCCGTATGTGCCGTATAACTGTGCCGTATAACTGTGCTGGTATAACTGTGCTGGTATAACTGTGCTGGTAACTGTGCCGTATAACTGTGCCGGATAACTGTGCCGTATATGCCGTATAACTGTGCCGTATAACTGTGCTGGTATAACTGTGCCGTGTAACTGTGCCGTATAACTGTGCCGTATAACTGCTGTATAACTGTGCCGTATAACTGCCGTATATCTGTGCCGTATAACTGTGCTGGTAACTTAGCCGTATAGCTGTGTCGTATAGCTGTGCCGTATAACTGTGCCGTGTAACTGTGCCGTGTAGCTGTGCCGTATAGCTGTGCCGTATAGCTGTGCCGTATTACTGTGCCATATAGCTGTGCCGTATAACTGTGCCGTATAGCTGTGCTGTATAGCTGTGCTGTATAACTGTGCCGTGTAGCTGTGCCGTGTAACTGTGCCGTGTAACTGTGCCGTATAGCTGTTCCGTATAACTGTGTAACTGTGCCGTGTAACTGTGCCGTATAGCTGTTCCGTATAACTGTTTAACTGTGCCGTGTAACTGTGCCGTATAGCTGTTCCGTATAACTGTGCCTTGTAACTGTGCCGTATAGCTGTTCCGTATAACTGTGCCTTGTAACTGTGCCGTGTAACTGTGCCTTGTAACTGTGCCGTATAGCTGTTCCGTATAACTGTGTAACTGTGCCGTATAACTGTGCCGTATAGCTGTGCCGTATAACTGTGCCGTATGTGCCGTGTAACTGTGCCGTATAACTGTGCTGGTATAACTGTGCTGGTAACTGTGCCGTATAACTGTGCCGTATAGCTGTGCCGTATAACTGTGCCGTATGTGCCGTGTAACTGTGCCGTATAACTGTGCTGGTATAACTGTGCTGGTAACTGTGCCGTATAACTGTGCCGTATAGCTGTGCCGTATAGCTGTGCCGTATAACTGTGCCGGATAACTGTGCCGTATAACTGTGCCGGATAACTGTGCCGTATAACTGTGCCGTATAACTGTGCCGTATAACTGTGCCATGTAACTGTGCCGTATAACTGTGCCGTATAACTGTGCCGTGTAACTGTGCCGTGTAACGGTGCCGTATAGCTGTGCCGAATAGCTGTGCCGTATAACTGTGCCGTATAGCTGTGCCGGATAACTGTGCCGTATAACTGTGCCGTATAACTGTGCTGGTATAACTGTGCCGTATAACTGTGCCGTGTAACTGTGCCGTATGTGCCGTATAACTGTGCCGTATAACTGTCCCGTATAACTGTGCCGTGTAACTGTGCCGTATAGCTGTGCTGTATAACTGTGCCGTATAACTGTGCCGTATAACTGTGCCGTGTAACCGTGCCGTATAACCGTGCCGTGTAACTGTGCCGTGTAACTGTGCCGTGTAGCTGTGCCGTATAACTGTGCTGGTAACTGTGCCGTATAACTGTGCCGTGTAACTGTGCCGAATAGCTGTGCCGTATAACTGTGCTGGTAACTGTGCCGTATAACTGTGCCGTGTAACTGTGCCGTATAGCTGTGCCTTATAGCTGTGCCGTATAACTGTGCCGGATAACTGTGCCGTATAGCTGTGCCGGATAACTGTGCCGTATCTGCCGTATAACTGTGCCGTATAACTGTGCTGGTATAACTGTGCTGGTATAACTGTGCCGTATAACTGTGCTGGTATAACTGTGCCGTGTAACTGTGCCGTATGTGCCGTATAACTGTGCCGTATGTGCCGTATAACTGTGCTGGTATAACTGTGCTGGTATAACTGTGCCTTGTAACTGTGCCGTATAGCTGTTCCGTATAACTATGCCGTGTAACTGTGCCGTATAGCTGTTCCGTATAACTGTGCCTTGTAACTGTGCCGTATAGCTGTTCCGTATAACTGTGCCTTGTAACTGTGCCGTATAGCTGTGCCGAATAACTGTGCCGTATAACTGTTAGGGGTGTAACGATACACAAACCTGACGGTTCGGTTCGTCCCACGGTTTTGAGGTCTCGGTTCGGTTCGGTTCGGTTCTTTTATTTTTTATTAAACAGTGCTTTAATGAACAAATTGTGTCCTTGTCTTTAAATTAATTAATTTACAAGTAAACGTTTCTCAAGGATAACTAAATTTTCTACTAATGCTGTAAACTACAGCCCTTACTTGCACATTACTATAACATTAAAGCTTAACAATAGAGCCTAGACTTTTAGCCTAAATGATATAATAATAATCAACACTCAAATAACAAATTGTATGAAAACATGTAAACTACACATAAGGCAATTTTTGCATTAACATGTTTTTACTCTAATTTGTTAATGTTATATAATAATTTACACCGTTGCTGTTATTTTCATGACAACTATTTTAAACATACATTAAATAATCAAGATATCATAAACAGGTTAAGTAAAATATAATATATAGGCTAATATATACCATTTATTTAGTGAAAGAGTTAGCAAACCAGCAAGCTGTGGACACTGAATGACTTGCCTGAGGTAAATATAAAGCTATGTGAAAAACTAAGCGTTTTATTGACGTATTTCCGCTGTTGAAACTCTGATTGAGTGTTTACACGAGTTATGATGCCTTTCAGTAAGTATACTGTATCTTTCAACATACCTTCGGTTGTCCATTCATGTTTATTCTGTAACTGAGGAAGAGATGATCGCGCTCCGCGCTGCCGCATGCATACAGTGATATCTGTCACGCCATATCTAAGAGCGCCAAAACGGCATTTATTGTTTACATTTCGTGATCAAATAGACATAATTTGAAAGATTACACCTTGCTTATTATCAAAAGTAACAAAACACTGAGCTTATTGCGATTATATGTGGTTAATGGTGGTTAGGCAACAGCCCTATTCGTTGTGTACACATAACACATGAGGTGCAATGAGCCGGGGCTGGGCGGGGCAACAGGGGGCGGGGCGTGTTCGGTTCGCCATGAGAGTATCGCGATACGTATCGTGGGTGGTGTATCGCGGTTTTTCGGTTCGGTTCAAATATCGTTACACCCCTAATAACTGTGCCTTGTAACTGTGCCGTGTAACTGTGCCGTGTAGCTGTTCCGTATAACTGTGCCTTGTAACTGTGCCATGTAACTGTGCCGTGTAACTGTGCCTTGTAACTGTGCCGTATAACTGTGCCGTATAGCTGTGCCGTATAACTGTGCCGTATAGCTGTTCCGTATAACTGTGCCTTGTAACTGTGCCGTGTAACTGTGCCATGTAACTGTGCCTTGTAAATGTGCCGTATAACTGTGCCGTATAGCTGTGCCGTATGTGCCGTATGTGCCGTATAACTGTGCCGTGTAACTGTGCCGTATAACTGTGCCGGTAACTGTGCCGTATAACTGTGCCGTGTAACTGTGCCGTGTAACTGTGCCGTGTAACTGTGCCGTGTAACTGTGCCGTGTAACTGTGCCTTGTAACTGTGCCGTATAACTGTGCCGTATAGCTGTGCCGTATAGCTGTTCCGTATAACTGTGCCTTGTAACTGTGCCGTGTAACTGTGCCGTGTAACTGTGCCTTGTAACTGTGCCGTATAACTGTGCCGTATAGCTGTGCCGTATAGCTGTGCCGTATGTGCCGTATAACTGTGCCGTGTAACTGTGCCGTATAACTGTGCCGGTAACTGTGCCGTATAACTGTGCCGTGTAACTGTGCCGTGTAACTGTGCCTTGTAACTGTGCCTTGTAACTGTGCCGTATAACTGTGCCGTATAGCTGTGCCGTATAGCTGTGCCGTATAGCTGTGCCGTATAACTGTGCCGTGTAACTGTGCCGTATAACTGTGCCGGTAACTGTGCCGTATAACTGTGCCGGTAACTGTGCCGTATAACTGTGCCGGTAACTGTGCCGTATAACTGTGCCGGTAACTGTGCCGTGTAACTGTGCCGTGCAACTGTGCCGTGTAACAGTGCCATGTAACTGTGCCGTATAACTGTGCCGTATAACTGTGCCGTGTAACAGTGCCGTATAACTGTGCCGTATAACTGTGCCGTATAGCTGTGCCGTGTAACAGTGCCGTGTATCTGTGCCGTATAACTGTGCCGTAACTGTGCCGTATAACTGTGCCGTATAGCTGTGCCGTATAACTGTGCCGTATAACTGTGCCGTGTAACTGTGCCGTATAACTGTGCCGTATAACTGTGCCGTATAGCTGTGCCGTATAGCTGTGCCGTATAACTGTGCCGTATAACTGTGCCGTATAACTGTGCCGTGTAACTGTGCCGTGTAACAGTGCCGTGTAACTGTGCCGTATAACTGTGCCGTATAGCTGTGCCGTATAACTGTGCCGTATAACTGTGCCGTATAACTGTGCCGTATAACTGTGCCGTATAACTGTGCCGTATAACTGTGCCGTATAACTGTGCCGTGTAACTGTGCCGTATAACTGTGCCGTGTAACTGTGCCGTGTAACAGTGCCGTGTAACTGTGCCGTATAACTGTGCCGTATAGCTGTGCCGTGTAACAGTGCCGTGTAACTGTGCCGTATAACTGTGCCGTATAACTGTGCCGTATAACTGTACATGCAGACTCAGCTGTGGACACTCCTGTAGAAGAGATTCATATCAGAGAGCTTTCCTCTCCTGGCTGAACTATGACACGCTGCACCGAAACACCGGCTGATTTGTTGTGTTTGTGTGTATCATCTGAAAGCGTGACTCGCGGGTTGACGACCCAGCCGGACCCTAATCCTGTAATGAATGTTTCATTATTAATGGATGTTTTTTTGCCCAGCCCTAATCGGCATTAGTCACGCTGTTCTAAAGGAGCCGGAGGGATGGAGGAAGGATGGAGGAAGAGACGCACTTGTCCCGCAGAACGACGCCCTCCACGCAGGATCCGAACAGCAGAACACAGCTCAGGTCTGAGCGCCGGTTCAGGAAACATCGGCAAAACACCAGACACACAACATCACAGCACACATCACCAGTTACATTACTGACGGCAATATGTTTGTAAGGATAACCCCTGTGTCAAGTCAAGTCATCTTCATTTATATAGCGCTTTTAACAATGGATTGTTTCAAAGCAGCTTTACAGAGATAAACATATAATTTAAGGTAACAGAGATTGTTTTGGCTTTATTGTGTGTGTGTGTGTGTGTGTGTGATGTGTGTAAGGGTAACCCCTGTGTGTGTGTGTGTGTGTGTGTGTGTGTGTGTGTGTGTGTGTGTGTGTGTGTGTGTGTGTGTGATGTTTGTAAGGATACACACGAGGGATGTGGTGAGGATGGCCAGGATTGTGCCGATGGGAATCGAGCGCTGAGCATCTTTCAGATCTCCAGAACGGTTCGAGCCCGCCATGATTCCTGACACACACAGAGGATCTGATGAACATCAGCACGGTCACATGACAACACGTCTTATCTGATGTCATGTGACATCACGGTCTCAGAAACACACAAAACCACAGCTGAGAGTTAGAAATTAAATAGATAATAACATTTTAATGAATATAAATTAATTAAATATATATATAATTTCTAAAAAATATATCATTTAATTAATTAAGTATAATGAATACACATGATCACAGTTTATCCAGTATCTCCGGCACATTTTGCATGTCTGTACGTATGCAGTAACTCTGCATGTAGGAAATCAGAATGTAAACACACCGCAAAAACTTTATGAGCCGAATTTTGTTGCATTATTATAAACACACCCTTCGATTGACTGATAAAATAAGAGAAATGCAGGAATACCAGTCACAGAGGGAAAGAAGATCCCGACCAACAGCGTGAAGGAGGTGGTGATGTCAGCAAACACGTAAGGATAGTGATTGGACACGGCGGGAGAGTGGGCGGAGCGATGGACGCCGCGCTCCAGAACGTCTCCTTTAGCGGAGTACGAGCTCCAGAGGTTCTCTAGACACAACAAAGGGATGAAGAAAACAGTCAAATTAGGGATGCTCGATATATCGGCCACCATATCGGTCTCGGCCGATATATGATTATTTTTAATGTTATTGTTATCGGCACGTTAAGTAAATTTGGCCGATATATTAAAGCCGATAAGTAATGTATTATTTCCTTCAGCTGAGACTCTTCAGAGGCGCACTGTTCAACATGATGGATTTGAACTGCTTGAAATAGGAATGGAATCACTTAAAAAGGGAAATACAGTAAAGTAGTGCAAGTCTGTCATATCAGCTACATAAAATTATCATGAAAACATTATAATTGTGTGTTTAGGACATAGTGAGACTTGTTTTTGCAATCAGGCTCTCAAAATGTATATAAAAATTTTGATTTAGATTTATCAAATATAAAGAATATCGGCTTTCAAATATAAAGAATGATCGGTTATCAGCTTTCAAATATAAAGAATTATCGGTTATCGGCTATCAAATATAAAGAATTATCGGTTATCGGCTATCAAATATAAAGAATTATCGGTTATCAGCTTTCAAATATAAAGAATCATCAGTTATCAGCTTTCAAATATAAAGAATTATCGGTTATCGGCTATCAAATATAAAGAATTATCGGTTATCGGCTTTCAAATATAAAGAATTATCAATTATGGGCTTTCAAATATAAAGAATTATCGGTTATCGGCTTTCAAATATAAAGAATTATCGGCTTTCAAATATAAAGAATTATCGGTTATCGGCTTTCAAATATAAAGAATTATCGGTTATCGGCTTTCAAATATAAAGATTATAGGTTATCGGCTTTCAAATATAAAGAATATTGGTTATCGGCTTTAAAATATAAAGATTATCGGTTATCAGCTTTCAAATATAAAGAATTATCAATTATCGGCTTTCAAAT